CTCCCAGGACTGGTCCATCTTCCCAGACTGGTCACCTACTGGATTGATCACCTCCCCAACTGGTCCACCTTCCCAGGTTGGTCGCCTTCTGGACTAGTCCACCTTCCCAGACTGGTCACCTCCCGGACTGGTCCACCTCCCAGACTAGTCACCTCCCGGGACTGGTCCACCTTCTCAGACTGGTCACCTCCCAGGACTGGTCCACCTTCCCAGACTGGTCACCTCCCAGACTGGTCCACCTTCCCAGACTGGACACTTCCCGTACTGGTCCACCTTCCCATACTGATCCATCTCCCGGACTGGTCACCTCCCAGACTGGTCACCTTCCGGACTGGTCCACCTTCCCAGACTGGTCACCTCCCAGACTGGTCCACCTCCCCAGACTGGTCACCTACGGGATTGATCACCTCCCCAACTGGTCCACCTTCCTGGGTTGGTCGCCTTCTGGACTAGTCCACCTTCCCAGACTGGTCAGCTCCCTTGACGGGTCACCTCCCGGACTGGTCCACCTCCTGGACTAGTCACCTCCCGGGACTGGCCCACCTTCCCAGACTGGTCCACCTTTCCAGACTTGTCACCTCCCGGACTGGTCCACCTTCCCAGACTGGTCACCCCCCAAACTGGCCCAGCTTCCCAGACTGGTCACCTCCCCAACTGGTCCACCTTCCCAGATTGGTTGCCTTCTGGACCAGTCTACTTTCCCAGACTGGTCACCTCCCCGGATTGCCTTCCCAGACTGGTCACCTCCCCGGATTGGTCACCTCCTGGACTGGTCACCTCCCGGACTGGCCACCTCCTGGACTGGGCCAGTTCCCAAACTGGTCCATCTCCTATACTAGTCACCGCCTGGACTGGTCACTTCCCTGCATTGGTCACCTCCCAAACTTATCACTTCCCCAGCTTGCTCTATCTCCTAGGACTGGTCACTTCCCTGGACTGATCCACCTCCCTGCACTGGTCCCCTACCTGGACTGGTCCATCTCCCCTCACTGGTCACTTCTCCAGACTGGTCACCTCTAAGACCAGTCCACCTCCCCCAACCGGTCTACCTCCCCAACTGGTCCACCTCCCAGACTAGTTACTTGACGGAGTGGTCACCTCCAGGACTGGTCACCTCCCAGACTGATCACCTCCCAGTCTGGTCCACCTCCCCAGACCGGTCTACCTCCCCAACTGGTCCACCTCCCAGACTAGTTACCTCCTGGACTGGTCACCTCCCAGACTAGTCACTTCCCGAACTGGTCACCTCCCAGACTGGTCCACCTCCCTGGAGGGACGGGCTCGCACTGCTTCCTGGCAGCTGCAGGCGCAGTGGGGACTGAAACCCACTTGTCCTCCTGGAGTTTCATGGACAAGTCCACATCCCACCCCGTCTCACTGGAGCCTGGATCTGTGTGGTCCAGTGAGCTGATGTGCGTCTCTTTTCAATGCAACTCAAAAGAGCGTAAAACAACCATTAACTAAATACTGTAGGATTTATTAATTAAAAACTCATTTAATCTATACCATTTTTGCATACATATTAAATCTGTAGCCTTAATAAATGTCCATTACTTCTTAAAATAGAGAGAAATTGAGGATATTTCAACAATGAAATATATAATGGAGGAAGAGTGTAATTTTTTTTTGGATAAAACTCTTTGGTCTATATAATTTTTCTGAGTTTAAAATAACACGAGAATTCACTCCAATAAAAAAGTAAACATTACTTTTCTCAAAAAATTTAATTGCAGAACTATTTACAGGAGGCGAACATCAGCGATACAGAAATCAGATGGAGCATTATCACAGGAGGTTACGGAGGAAACGGTGCACATTTTCGTACAGTCAGCCAAGAGTGAAAAAAAGTCATGGAAAAAAGAACACAAAGAAAGCAATCCTTAAATGCCTGAAAGGAATGACCAACATTTTGGTAAGTTATTAAGAAGTAAGAAATCGTGGTGATGAATAGCAGATTGCACATTCAGATCAGGTATCCTGCATGCTACTAAATAAGAATTTATCAAAAGAACCATAAAAGCATGAGAAAGAGAATTACATAAAATAGTTTAATTCCAGTAAAGTGACTTTGTACAGATGCTGAGTATTTGGCACTCTGTTCATCCTCACACTCGATATGGTTTCATATTTATATATATATATGTATATATATATTTATTTACTTTTTAAAAACTTGAACTAAACAGCTAGTTTCCTGGTTCTAACATTCCTTGAATTTCTATAGGAGGCATTTAATGTAGTCCTTAGGCCACACCTGGGTATTTTGGTCTGTACTATGGAAGGTGGGGGGATGAGTGGTGTGTCTCTGCAGGGAGGACCCGTCCTGTCCGAGAGCAAAGTGGCTTACCATTCGGAAGGAAGCGTTCTAAAGGAGCCTTCCCCCTTGCTGCTCTTAAGGGGAAGCTTTGTTGAGTTCAGCAAACCAGTTAGAGAGTGGAGTGAGGGAGACATTCATGCTGAGCCCTTTGAAAGTGATATGATTGTATTATTCAAATGAGTGGGGCTGGGTCATGGTGGTGTTTTGGGGGTAAATCAGAGAATGGGTGACTGGCTTCCATAAGGTACCATGGTCAAGCTGGGAGCATCCTTTGTTGTACTGGCAGACACAAACCAACACACTCTCTAGGGAGACCACGGTCTATTTGAGAGAGAAATTTGTACTTAAATTTGTCCGAGAAACCTGGTGTCGATCTTTTCATTCATTATCGCCTCTCCTCCATTGAGTAGGTGAAAGCTTGGATGCCCAAGGCCTTCAGGTCCTGAATAAGCACCAATGAAAAGAATTACATAAATCTAAGAAAGTAGGGAGGTGAACCTCTGTCACCTTAGTGTGTGTATATACAAAATCTGTTAAAAAGTACTTTGATAGTAGGTAACGAACATTTCCTCTGCAAAGAAGTCATCTGTTAAGTGTTTACATTGAAACTTGAAATAATTTAACACTAGATAAAAACGCCAGGGTTAGGACAGCAGTTAATAAAATGATGGACATTTTTCAGTGTGGCGAGGATGAAAGATGGTTACTTCCTAGAGCTTTCCCACAGACCACCTCTGCGTTCTCTGAAGTGGAGGGATTATGACCACCTCTGCATTCTGGGAAGAAGGGAATTTGTGGGGGGTCCTTAAGCTCTTTGTGGTTTGAGCCAGTGTGTCTGATTTTGTTTTTGCTGTTTCCCCATGCATGCAGTTACCTGCTTCCCAATTATTTTTTCCCTTCATCACTTAAATGTGTAGTTTATCTCCTCATCTAAGAGGCAACTGAGCTTAAGTAATGGTGAAAACATGGCCTAATTCTGGCTGGTGCTGGGTTCTTGTTCTCGGAAGCATCTAGAAATGGTTAAAATCAAAGCCAGAAGCTGGGAGAATGCCCCTTGTCGTTATTTCCCCATTTCCAAACCTTTCCAAAGACAGTCTCACAGCATCTGCCTCTGGTGGTCCCTAATTAGCGCTGAGATGTTTGCCACCCGCCTGGACTCCGGCAGCCTTCCCTGCAGAGCTGGAGGGCGGCATTCCAGAAGAGGCCAGGGCCTAATCCTTAGCAATAACTCCAACTTTCAGCACCTGTTCCAGGAGCTCAAAGGACTTAGAGCCAATATGTCACTAATCCTCACAACGTGTCCTCGAGGGAGACAGGGGCAGGAACTGTAATCCCCTGTCTAGAGGAAACAACTGAGACATAGAGGAAAAAGTGAGATGAGCTGCTGGCTATGGGCGAATCAGAGCCACGTTGCCTGATTAAACAGCCTAGAGATTCCTAGCAACATCTCCTTCATTTCCAGAATATTCTGCTGCCACTCTGTGCTGGGGGACATTCAGTCGAATACACAGAAGCAACCCTTTCCTTCAGCACTTTATGGCCAACAATGCATTGCAACTCCCAACTGATAGCAAGATGGGCCTCCCGCAGGGAAGCCGTGGGATCTGATCTGACCTTGTGCGGTGTGTGTTACGGCTGACACATGGCACCAGATGACGCGCGGTGCATTGCCCTAGCCCACGGAGTTACAGATACTGATGGGAAAGGGGTCATCTTTTTCAATTCTTAAGCTCCTGGTTTTCTATTTTAATTTTCAAATTTTGGAACCTTTTATTTTCAAGTTTTCAACCCATGCCTACAAAGAAGTGCGGACAGACATGCAGATGAAAAGAAGGGAACCCTCCAACATTCTAGGGGCCGTGGTCTGAAACTGCTGTTTTAAACTAGCCTGTTAAATTTGCAGTTAGAGGAAACGAAGTTCAGGCCTGAGCAGAAGAGGGCTGGGAAGTGAGCAGGCACAAACCACGCGGAATTTGGTTACTTAGGCCCGTGTTGGGGGAGCTTGTTTCTGTGCTCGTAGGTGAGGCAGGTCCAGTTTTCGGACATGTGGGGGGCCAAATGCAGCATCCAGGTGCCCTCCCTGAACCAATGCTGTTTGGGGTAACGCTTCTATGTCTGTACCAGTGCGCACCCTCTTACACCTCCATCAAGTCCGGCCATCCCGTGGTCCTGAGCTGCGTCCCCCAGGAGGCCCCCTGGCCCCTTAATGCTCAGGTCCTGCTGATAGAAAAGGCCTTCCTGAGGAAGACTCAGACCCGCCTCCCCCACTCCCTACTCGCATCCAAAAGGTTTGGCCCAAACCGGAGAGCTGTCCCTAATAGAGCACATTCTGTGGACACCGCAGGCACTTCAACTACAGGCCTCCAGCACCCCTTCACTTTCCTGTGAAATTCCATCCCGGATTGGAGTAGCAATGCCTGCAAGGACCTAACAGAAACAGAGATGAGTGAATTTACGAATGCAGGGCCTTCTAATGAAGGGGTGGGAAAAGTGGTGCTTAATATGGCATCGAAAAGGCAAAAATCAAGACAGGGAAACAAGGACATACACTCCCAGAGAAAGAATCAAACCTGTGCAAGTGTGTGCTCTGCCTCTGTGTCTTCTAATCATCAATCTGGCCACTTCGATAAGAGCCAGTAGGGAGAAATTCCCTCCACTTAGCAGGGCACTGATTTTGTAGTTTTTTTTTTTTTTTTTAAAAAAAAAAAAAAAAAAAACCCAGATAACCTTACATGTAATTTATATTTTTATCTGATCATACGCCTTTCCATTAAGTGCCTGAAGCTTTTAGAATTGGAGTTGACAACATCAATATTTCCTTTTAAACAAAACTATTTTTTTGGTATCATAAACAGTTCATTTTTTAATATACCATTTTAAGATGGTGATGTAAATTTGCTGAGAAAAATGTAAAAAGTGTCATGGATAACAACTTGTTTTACTTGAAACACAATAACAACACCTGAAGACGCATGAGATGCATGACAAGGAAAGCGCTCCGGTTACCAAGCAGCATTCTCCTTTCCTGGGTTAAATGCTGTTTATCATACTTGTGTTTTATTAACCAAAGCCTTCAACACAGCAGGATCAACTTGTTGGCTGTAAGGAAAGGGTCTGGGTTTCACCCGTTATGGGCCGTATCTTTAGGGAATGTAGGTATGCGGTTATAGCGAACATCACATTCTCTAGGATGATGTTCCTAGAACATCATACATCATTATTTTCAGCCATGTTTTCCAAAGGATGTGTACTCCTTTATTGAAATTATATTTTAAATATGATGAAATGGTCACACGTGAGCTTCATGGTATGTATCTGCTAGAAGCGGCTGAAATAAGCTAGCTTGAGTGACTAACACAAGTATCATAAACAGTTTATTTTTCTTTACATGTACAATACATAAACATGGCTTATCTTCTGCATTTCATGGTAGAATGTCACCTGCATGAGAACTGAGTATATTGCACTTGGTTATGTAACACGGACAGGTAACATTCCATCAGGTCTAGCAGCAGGTACCCGTTCTACCATTGAATCATCTTCTTTGGGACATGGCAGACCAAGCAGGGCATGTGCACATTCACCATGTCGAGTCACCAACCCCTGTGCAATGTAGTGGTAGGTTAATCTGCTCACTTAGGGATGGTTTTAGGCCAAGACTTTTGGGGATTGTAAAATAACAATGAATTAACAAAACATAAGAAATTAATCCACAGCCAGTGAATGTTTTCTTTTAAGCAGGGATCATTGAATCTGGGATCTACCTTAACAGTTTGTTTTTATATGTTTTGTATAAGTTCAAGGAAATAAACATATCAGCTGCCAGTAGGTAGAACGACGTGAGGAGGTGGCGTGTCTGTAACAGATCCAGGATACAGAGCTGTGTTTCATTTCCTTTCACTGGGAGTGTACAACTGACTTTGCTTTTCTGTGGTTATTTCTAAACAGCAGAGTTCACCTGAAATCACACGGCATTTTAAAAGTCTAAAACGCCAATACTTGCAGATACATTTGTTTTAACATCATAGAGTGGATATAGGAAGAGGTGTCATTACTGTACACTACTCAAGATTTAGGTATTTAGGTAGAAAAATGCTTTGAACACTCTGGGGAAATAGAACTCATTTATAGAAGAATATTTCAGGGAATATTTTTTTTTTTTTTTTTGCATTTTTCAAGGAGATACATTCGTACTGATTTTTGCTTCCAAATATATTTTAAGGCTGTTTGGTAAAATATATACCAGATATGAGGCTTGATTTATAGGGTTTTGTTTTTACAGGGAAATCTTTCCTCAGCTTTAAAAAAGTAAAACTTTGAAGCTAACATGCTTTAATATCTGCTCTGCTCCCAATGGTCCCGTGCGCAGTGGGATGTGGGAAAGGAGGCAGCGGAGAGGCTGCGGCTCGGGAGGACGCTCTGGCACAACCGTGCACCCAACGCCCTGCCACACGCAGCTGCAGAGGGGACGGGGACATTGTAAAGTGCAAACCAAGTGAAGAGAGAAAGTGCGCGGGTCGTGGAAAGCTGTTCTGCCTGTGGCTGAGGACACGGGGCTCCTTGAAGCGGGGAAGGAAGACCTGGTATTTGGGTGGAAACATCTGTCTGGAACCGCAGTCCTGCCTTTACTCTGAGTAATAATGAGAACTGTGAGACTGTAACTCAGTGGAAAGATCGGATAGGCTTTTCCTTTGGAGACTGGTCCGAATGGTGAAACAGAAGTTATGTGGGAACAATGGTCGTGGCGGCTCAATTTCATTACACTCACGGAAAGCCTATTAATTAGAGCCGTTCCTAGTTTCCTCTGGTGCCGACCAGAGAGTCATGAACACTAATTACTTTTTTGAATTCCACAGCTGGAAATCGCAACAGGTGACCTCTTTTTCCTTCATGTCTAACACAGGCAAGGAATCTATTCTTAACTTTAGCAATACTGCATAGGACAAAAGAATTCTGGAAAGGTACAAATGTAAACTACATTTCTTCTTTACCATTTAAACTGAGATATACTTACCACTCACATTCATATTTCTTAAACTTTTTACAGCATCACAACTGTCATTTTAAACAAGCAAACTTTTTGTTTTTTTTGTTTTTTGTTTTTTAAGGATACCCTGGAAAGTCAGCTGATAGAGCAATTTGAGAATATATATACATACATTAAAAAAAATCCCATGTAGCATAAATGGTGAAACTTAAGGAAAATACTGGAGGTTGTTTTTAAGGTACAAAGAAATAAAAAATACAATGACTATTTCATAGAAGTAGGGACATTTTCTTCCCTTTATGCCCCCAGCCCTCTCTAAGGCTCTCCCCTCTCTGTGCGTGACTTCCTCGTGGGGACACTCAGAACACTCAGCTTCTCTTTTGAATGTGTGGATGCTGTGCTGGGTATTTTCAGTGGGTTCAGACTTGTCAAGCCCTGGGTTTTGCAGAACCGTGTGGCGGGGAGTTTGGTGTTTGGAGAGATCACTTTCCATCACAGTAAGCTTCACGCAAGGAGCCTAATGTTTTCTGCTTGTGAGGAGCAGGAGCAGGAGGGCGGAGCAGGCAGACGGCCCGGCCTCGGGGAGAAGGAACTGGGGTATGCGAGGGGAATGGGCCTTTCTTTCCTGCACTTCAGGTTGTAGCACCTTCCACTTGGGTGTCTAATGCCTCTAGGGAGTGGTGAGCTGCACCCATTTATAGTTATTTGTTATTCTTACCTCTAATTATCACACAATTTATAAAAATAGAAATAACAAAATGTAAGCTGGGTTTCAGCTCCAGGGGCGTTTCTCGCCGTCCTCAGAGAACACGGAGGGGAAGTCGGGTCTTGCCACACCTGTCCCTCAGAGCCGACTGGGAGCCAGGCCACCAGTGAAGAAAAGCAAAAGTCGTCCTCGCCACAAGCTCCGTGGACTCTGAGGCCACCGACCGCGTTCCACTGTGTTCACGGCACAAGGAGCAGAACAGCAAGGGCGTGTTCAGTGGAAGAAATGAAACAGAAACCACCAGGGAGCCAACAAACTGTACAAGCGTTTTGTGAAAAAGCAGAAACAACCAAGGGGAAGGTGGCTGCCCCCCGTCCTCAGAGCCGGGTCTGGGCCTCGGGGATATAGATCTCGATGCTGTCTGCACGCTCCGTGGCAGAATTCTGCCGGAAGGATGCCGCACGCTTGGCGGCCATGAGTCGTCTCCGCGCTTCCTGACGTTGTCTGTCGGGCAGGTCCAGGGATTTTTCTCTTGTGATGGGAAATTTTCCTTTGAGGGGCTTCTTTGGTATTGGAGGCGGGGCCTTTCTTTCTTCCTGAAAAGCATCACAAGTCAACATGGGTGGGTGGTCCGGGGGGTCCTAAGAACTTGCGAGCTCAGTGGCCCTGGGGTCTGGGCATGCCCTTCCTGATCGAAACCCTCCCAGTGCCATCCTTCATTCCATTCCCACGCTTCCCCTGAACCCTGACTCCCAGGTCATAGGTCTGCCTTCTGCACAGTGTATCATTTGCGTAAGCTCCCTCAAACTTCACAAAGGGGTCAGAGGCGTTTGCGGCAGTGTTCACAAATCAGGAAATACTTTCTGCATATTCACCCCTCACATCTCTGGAGTCACTGAGCTATTCTGACATCCTTGCCCAATTCCAGCACTTCAAAAGCCCTATGTCATGCTCTCCGAGCACTGGCCAATACCTGCATGGCCAAGCGCAGAGCATCACAGGGATTTAGGACACACCGCTGGACGTCCCTATTAAACACTGGAGGGTTTCCAGCAGACTGTAGAATTCCAATGTGTTCATGAAAACCATCTAACATCAGTGGGTGTGTCGGGAAACACTGGCCGAATTCTCTTACTGGCCTAAAATCTCATTGACATGGACAATATTTATAAAACCACTATTCACTTGCTTGGTTTGTAAAAAGATGCAAGTAAGTATTTTTGACCCTTAGCTCAGATTCTCAGGTAAGTCACGCTAAAATATGGTGTGTGCCTTTTTAGAAAGATAAATCTCACAATTCTGCAACAAATGCGATGGGTGATGCAGTTACTCCCGCGAATGGTCTGTGTTCATGGCTGTGCGGGTCACACTGTTCCTAAAGACAGCAGGACCTGCCCTGTCCCATTCTGGACGGAGCCCTGTGGGGACTCTCCATAGCCTGCTGTTTCCTTTCCAGGAAAGGACGCATGACAGAAGACGTCAGAACCCCTTTCCTTTCCTAAGCAGGTATCTAGTTTTTGGGGAGAAAACCACAAAAATTCTGCTTGTGTCTGTCTTCAGCCTCTAAGAAATTTCCAAGGGGAGCCCAGAGATGCTTGGACAGCAGGCAGTTGTAGAGGAGGCTGGGGCACGGTTGCAGGAGGGTGTGTGGCAAGAAGGCTGCTTTGGCGTCTGGAACTTTGTTCCTTCGGCTTATTTTATGTGACCTAGGCCAGAAGCGCTGACTCTTACCTGACTTTCCGGCATCCGTCTAAAACAATGGGGGATGAGTTCATTGCAACCTTCAGCTACTTAAACAAGTAATTCCTGTTTCCAGCACGTGACAACTCATAGTTCAGGGGATGCCAAGAGAAGAGGAAACGAGGGTCTCTTTCATCTTTTGGTGTCCCGGCACTATGGGCCTGTGAGGCGTACACATCAGCACTACTTGTGGGGGTCCCCCCTTTAAAGGAGCTCCCCGGCCTGCAGGTGTGGCCCTGTAGGAGCGTCTAGCAGGTGCTGTGCAGGGGCCCACCCCCTGGAAGTTGAAGATGCCATGTTCGGGAGGGGCGGGCCGCCTCTTCAGGCATGGAGCCTCCACTGTGCTAGAAACCTGCTCGCTTGCTGGTTTTGAGGATTGTACTCTACAGGCAGCTTGGGTAGATGGGCTCATATTAGCTCTCAATGACCAAAGAATGGAAACAGACGGAACCATTGCGTGCACCTGAACTAAAGTACCTTCCGTTGGAACAGCCTTCTCGCTTAGAACATCACTGATGATCTCTTTCACCTCGGATCCAAACCGTGGCTTACCTGGACCTGCCGAGTCCCAGGCACAGCTTACGTGGACCTTGCACACTACTACCTGCTCCTGTCGCCTGAGATGACAGGGAACCCGTGGGTCGGTGGCATCTAGCCTGGAACTCCACTTGCGACCAGGGACACCCTCTGAGAGGAGATGATGAGGGCAACGAGCCCTGGCTCTCAGTCTGGTGACCCAGATGTGTCTCCCTGCTTCCCCAACGTATGCTGACTTGATTTTCTTTATCATTTTAATCGATAACGTTTGTCTAGAAAAATCCAATTGTGGTTCCTCAGGACATGCCTGAAACCTGTGAGGAAGTCAATATCTTTGCTGCTAACTCAGAACTATCTACTAGTTCTTCTGATGACAGTATCATGGAAGAAGTGAAACGCTGGGGTTCAGATCTAATGGGAAATTTCAGCCTGTTTTAAGGGCTGAGGCTGATTGATCTATAGGAAGCTTAATTCATCCAACTGTTGAATAAGGTATAAAATGTGGCCTTGCCTATAGCGGCCATACTAGAAGGTATATTGAGTTGGAGATAGTGCCTAATCAGGCCTAAAACTTTCCCTGTGGGAAACCAGCTTAATATTTACACAATCAGAATAAGTTTGATGATGAAAATTCAGAGGTGAGACCCCTGTCAGGAATGACGCTGTAGATTTGCTTGTGATCTTGGCTGGTGTCTCTTTGAAAGACCCTATTATTTACCACCTGTGCCCAAGGCTGCAATTCTGCACCACTTGGGGCATGTGCACACACAAGCACATGCTCACACACGTGTGAACACGTACATACATGAAAATTTGCGCCTGTATTGCCAGCAGGACTGAGAACCTCGTTGTCATGCTGTATCTGCAGCAGGTGGTTACTGTGGTGGGAAGGGGTATTGCTGGGAGCCCACTCTGCACGGGCGCCCTAACCTTTCTCTCTGCAGCAGGTGTACTGCGGTGGGAAAGGGTATTGGTGGGAGCCCACTCTGCACGGGCACCCTAACCTTTCTCTCTGCAGCAGGTGGTTACTGCGGTGGGAAAGGGTATTGCTGGGATCCCACTCTGCACAGGCGCCCTTACCTTTCTCTCTGCAGCAGGTGTACTGCGGTGGGAAAGGGTATTGCTGGGAGCCCACTCTGCACGGGCGCCCTTACCTTTCTCTCTGCAGCAGGTGTACTGCGGTGGGAAGGGGTATTGCTGGGAGCCCACTCTCCACGGGCGCCCTAACCTTTCTCTCTGCAGCAGGTGTACTGCGGTGGGAAAGGGTATTGCTGGGAGCCCACTCTGCACGGGCGCCCTAACCTTTCTCTCTGCAGCAGGTGTACTGCGGTGGGAAGGGGTGTTTGCTGGGAGCCCACTCTGCACGGGTGCCCTAACCTTTCTCTCTGCGGCAGGTGGTTACTGTGGTGGGAAGGGGTGTTTGCTGGGAGCCCACTCTCCACGGGTGCCCTTACCTTTCTTTCCGGAGACTCCATCATCTTCCAGTCATTGAGCCGCAGCCGCTGCAGCTCGTCGAACTTCATGCTGACGTCCTCGACAGAGAGCTGCAGCATGTCCCAGTAGCCGGCCAGGTCCTGCGATGTTGGCCTTGGCATGGCGCTGGGGTCCTGGAAATACACACAGTGTGTTCAGATCGGGAGAGTCTCCCACGGGCGCAGGGCTGGGAAGGCCTAATCTGCCTTTCACGAGGCGGATTAGGGAGAAGCCTGACTGATTCTGCCCTGAGGCAAATATTTGGGATCGCGTGCCATGCCTGGACAACAGTTTACTTTAGCGCAAGTATTTGCTGATGGCTTAAAAATAGGTAGCACAGCCGCCGTTAATTGTTCCACATTGAACATGCCGGGAATGGGGCCGATGGGAGAGTTTCTAAATGCTTGACAGCTCATAAAAGCAGTAGGACCCTGTGTTTTTGGTCGCCTGTGGGTGATTCAGAAGGGACAGGGCTCTGTGAGCCTGCCGTGGTACTGGCGTGGTGGTGGCGGCGGGTAGCCAGCTTGGAGCCTGTTCTAGACCTGTGTGTTCTCTGACAGCTCTTGGCTCTGGTTCTAATGGCAAGGACATCTTACAAATATAACGTGCCAAGGAACAGGATGCTCTCACCAAGTGGCTCCCACCTGTAGAGGCACAGGTGAGGCTCTGGGCTGCAGCCCCAGGAAGCGTGGGGCCCAGAGATGTGCTTGGTTTCTCTGCAGGGTGCCTGATACACGATTTCTACCAGCTGCCTACATCTATGTATTTCTTTTTGAGATAGGGTCTCGCTCTGTCACCCAGGCTGGAGTGCAGGTGTGATTGCGGCTCACTGCAGCTTCGACCTCCTGGGCTCGAGATCCTGCCTGCTCAGCCTCCCAGGTAGCTGGGACCACAGGCATAGGCCACCACACTCAGCTGATTTCTTTAATTTTGTAGCGATGGGGTCTGGCTATGTTGCCCAGGGTGACCTCAAACTCCTGGGGTCAAGTGACTCTCTTACCTCAGCCTCCCAGAGTGCTGGGATTACAGGCATGAGCCAGCATGCCCAGATTGCTGCCTATGTTGAAATCTGAATAACTTTTCCAGGAGTGGTTCCCTTGATTCGGTGGGGGCTCAACAGAGACGGGTTTCTGGTGGGTGGACATTCAACTGGATTTGCTTATGGGTTCAGCAGTGCACACTTAGCATGACCTGAACTTCTGTTTGGTTTGACATCCACATCAAAACAATCACGGTTCGGCTCCCACCCCCTTCTCTGGCACCCACCTGAGGGCAGCCGCCCCCCGGGAAGAGCAGCAGGGGTGAAAGCGGAACAGACAGCTCTGTGACTGGGGTCCCTGGCTGCCCACCTCTCGGCCGAGTCCGTTCTTCTCTGCGGCCACATGAGGGCAGCCTTGGCTGCTCAAAGCCCAGGCAGGCACTTGAGCTCCCCAGAAACCCAGGGAGGGTGGCCCTGGCCACAGGCGGGAGCCTGAACTCAGCCTCTGTGGATGCGACAGCCACAGTGCCTGGGAACCAGCCCATGTTCTGCACCGAAGTCAGCTGAGGCCTGCCAGGGGTGCAGGGCAGGCTGGGTGGGAAGCTGCTCAGATGCTGTGGGTGTGCTGCCTGCCTGGCTTCCAGAAGTCTCTGTCAACCTAAGAACATCCCCTCTTTCTGTAGGGCTGGGCATGGCTGTTCCTGATGGCATGGGGGATGCGGAGTGGCTTCTCCAGTGCCCACCGCTGGGTGGTCCCAGTCACATGTCCACATGGCCAGCTGCTGTGGCGGAGGCTGCCCTGGCCTGAGAGCAGGAATTGCCTTCTCACGCCCCTCTCCTTGGCCAGCCACACTCCCTTCCTTTGGGCTCATGCAGACCACACGCTGGGCTGGACGGGCACAGCCTGGCAGGGTTAAGATTTAGTTTTGTGTTTTCTGTTCTCTTTTGGTGGGGGAGGCGGTTGCATCTGTACCCACTGAACATTCAGAGACGATAAGGTGTTTATTTAAAAAAGTCAATGGTTTATAATACAATAAAGCCAATGGCAGGGCCTTGTTCCTTGTTAAATGGCCGTCTTAAATTCATCCAGCTCTGTGGCTCTGGCATCCAGCGTCCATTGTGTCCTGTTGTGGCCTGGGGCAGCTCTATGTGTACTGGTGGGTTCTCAGGTGCACAGTCCCCTGGGGTCGGATGAACTCAAATTCAGAGGCAGGCTCAGTGGGTCCAAATGAGACTGAGAATGTCAAACTGCTGGTCTCACAAGCACAGCAATCAGGCCGCACGCTTTGAGGGAATGTTCTTCTCAGCATTTTTTTTAAGGCGGATCTCGCTCTGTCACCCAGCCTGGAGTGCAGCGGTGCAGTCTTGGCTACCGCAGCCTCCGCCTCCCGGGTTCGAGCAATTCTCCTGCCTCAGCCTCCTGAGTAGCTGGGACTACAGGTGCATGCCACCACGCTGGGCTATCTTTCCAGTATTATGTGCCTTCTGGTCGCGTCACAAGCCACCTGCACATCCTGATCCCGAGAGAGTCTGCTCCCTGTGGTCCATCCTCAATCTCAGGGTGGGGTTGTGACATTTTCTAGGGTCACTCTTTGACTTAAAGCTTAGTTCCTTACTGACAGCCTCCAGCAGGCAGCGCTGCTGCGCGGAGCTGTGGACGATTCAGTTCGGCTTTGTGGAGCAAAGCATCTGTTAACGCGTTCGGCGCTCCCCTCTGCCAGGCCTGTCGCTGGCACCACCCCCTCCCCACACCACTCCTTCCCGGCAAACATTTCAGAGATTTTTTTTACTACTCCTGAGTAGAAGTTGAAAGAGAATGAGGTAGCCAAGCCCACGATTTCAAAACTCAAAAGGCATAACAATATTAGGATGAATAATTTTAAGCCCATTATTAGCTATTTCTGGCAGAGCAGAAAGGAACACTTAGGCCTGAATGTGCACCTTGGGCTGTGTGTGGGGAGCTCTGAACGAGACTTTCCTAAAGACAGTGCCTGGCTAGGCTCATCCGAGTCATTGTATTACACAGAGTTTGTCAGTGGCCAGAATCAATTCCTGTAAAGGGAATAAACACATAGATACTACAGAGAAGGCAAGAACGTTCACAGGTAACATGATAGCTCAGCGTTTACACAGCTACAAGTTTCTCTCAAGGTACTCAAAACCTTTCTGCTTCCCCCTTTTAAATGATGACTATGACTTTGTCAGAGTGACTTGTTGATGACTCTTTAAATTCCTGGTGAATGTCAATGGGGGTGATTGGAAGGTGTTAGAGAACGCATACTTTTGAATGATCCTAATGAAAAGACGTGAGATGCAACTCTGGCTTGCTTGTATGTCCTTTGATGTGGAAGAACATTCTTATGTCTCTTTGCACATGAAAAAGCCAAAGAAAACAAAACTCCTGGCAGCATTGCTACCAACCAGAGGCCTCGTGGAGACCTATTTGCATTTTACTGAAAATGTCTGGTCTGAAAAAAAATCAACGTATGTATTGTAAAACAACCCATTCAGTAGCATAACTATCACTTAGCTATTTCTCAAAGTAGAGTGAATACTTTAGTCAGGAAAGTATATTTACATGTATGTGTGTAGGCAAATGTATATCTAAAATATATTAACATGTATATGTACACTTACACATAGTATATATAAAATATATTTGTACATATGTGTAGGTGAATATATAACAAAAATATATTAATATGTAAACTAACATATATTTTATACATGCTATATATTTGCCTACACATATACTATATATATTTTATATATACTATACATTTGTATATATAAAATAGTTAACATGTTATATGTTAATTAGTGTGTATAAGTAAACTTTCATATACATGTTAATGTTTATATATAAATACATCTATACATGTTTATGTAGATCTATATATATACATAGATGCATATGATTCTAATATATATGAGACGTATACATGAGCTTTTCTGCTTGGCCAGAAATAGCAAATATACATTTATATATTAACATGCATATATATTTATAAGGATATATACATGTATATTAGCATGTATGTAAGTATATGTAAATATAAATACGTCTGTGGGTTTTCTTTCTTTTTGCTTGTCAGGAATAACCACGTTTAATGCCAGCTATATTAATGCATCTGGTTCCTGGTATATTTGTTTCACTATCATCTATAAAATACAAAGGCTAATATTATCTGCAAATCTCTTCTTCATTGTAGTTATGTGTTTTTCCAGCCACCTCAGATCATTTTCTTCATTTGTGACATGAGGCATATAGAAATTTCCATGGTTTCTCCTCTTCTAAGATGCTCTGGTGGGACATCCAGTTGCAAAGACATAGCCTCTTCCCATGCTGCTGTGGCCCCGTCTTCCTGCCCCCTGCTCCCCTGGCAGCCTCCCTGCCTCAGTGCCATGTTTAAACCAGGGCCATGCCGTCTCTGTTGGGAGAAGATACTTCTCAGTGTGGGAGGTATCTTCTATGATAAATGGGTGTGATACTCTGCATACGATAGGAACTCTTTGACAAGGAAAGAACAGCGAGGGCCTATGGAACGATGCCCATTAGCTTGGTTACAGGGAACAGGGGTTGTCTGAAGATTCACTTACCATATTCTGTTGGCAAAGCCAATAGAACTGCTGGAATTTCTGGGACATGAGAAGCTGGGCACTCCCAACAGCACTCCTGATTTTACCAAGAACTGTTGGAAAAAAAAAAAAACAGCTTCAAAACTGGGTCAATCAAACAAAAGCAGAAACACCACATGGAGGGAGCAGGTTCCACTGGATGAGAACTCTGGCTTCGTCGTGCAGAGCGATCACTGCGGAGTTGTTCCTCAGTCGGCTGCATCCCCAACTCATGAAGGAAATGCAAAGATGACCGAATGTCATGGTGGGGACACTCTCCTTGGGTATGGGGAGAAATTTGGTTTAGGAAGGCGGCCTACACTTCAGGGAGTTTTCCTTGTTTTGGCATCGAGATGATTTCAGTGCCACTGTTCAGATGAGCTGGAAGACACAAGACCACGTGTGAGTGACAGCGACATCAAATTCCTCCTATTTTTTATGGACTCTAATGTGCCAGTGAACTCTGTTAGAAAAAAACGCATCCATATGTGTTCTCTCATTGGATTCAGTTAAGTAATTTTTAGTGAACTGTGGGCAGCTATGTCCTGGCAGTGCTGTGAGCTATTTGTTATGTAGGAAGAGGCCGCATGGACACAGGCCACGTAGGAAGATGGTGGCAGCTAGGAAGACACGGCTCCCCTCCTGGAGATGGCGAGAGGGTCACGAGTTCCTGAATATGCTTACACCTACTAAACTCACCAATGCATGTACCTAGTATATGTGTCATGCTAACCCTACACTTCTGAGTGTGCCATAAGTCAGCATGCCACAGCTTAGTGAGGCAGGAAGGATTAATCTACAAAGGTTCCTAATTGCGATGACTTTATTTGGTTAAATAGTAAAAATATTAAAAAGTAAAGAATAAACTGTGTGTATATGTGTGTTTATTTTTATTTTTTGAGATGGAGTCTCGCTCTGTCACCCAGGCTGCAGTGCAGTGGTGTGATCTTGGCTCATGGCAGCCTCCGCCTCCTGAGTTCAAATGATTCTCTTGCCTCAGCCTCCCGAGTAGCTGGGATTACAGATGCCCACCACCATGCCCAGATCATTTTTGTATTTTTAGTAGAGATGGGGTTTCACCGTGTTGGCCAGGCTGGTCTTGAACTCCTGACCTCAGGTGATCTGCCTGCCTCAGCCTCCCAAAGTGCTGGGGTTATAGGCGCAAGCCACCACACCCGGCTTGTGTGTATTTGTGTGTTTTCGAGACAGGCTCTTGCTCTGTCACCCAGACAGAGTGGGCACACCCACTCCTGAGTCTGCAGTGAGCATGGCCACTGCTTTGTAAATGATAGCTTTGGTAGATCCTAGGGATCCTCGAAAGCACACAGGAATCCCCTGGAACCCATGTCTTACCGCTACACCCTGGGCCCACTGATTTCTGCTAGATTTTATTTGCTGGAGCAACAATTCAACATGATTCCATAGAGTGTGCCCAGTACCAGTATGTGGCTTTTCTGTGCCTGGGTCAGCACTTGGGGCTGGGGCTGCCCACCAGGCGGGAGGCAGATGATCTAAGCATCTCATCGCTTCTCCATTTACACCACATCTCCCCATTGTTTTCAGCGTGTGTGCTCCCAGGTGGGCATGTCTTTCCTGGAGCTCACTCACGGGGCATCTGCTGCTGCTTCTGGCCAAACTGATGATTTCACCTGCTCTTTTTGTTCTCCCTGGGGATTCTCTGCAGAGCACAAATCACTAACCTACACGACACACCCTAAAACTCAAAGTGCTGCTGGTTTAACGGGTCCAGCCTTTTGCCTGCTTTCGCTGGAAGGAAGCCATGTGAAGCCAACTCACCAGGGCTGGTGGAAAATGGCATAGGAAAAGGGGCATTTATCCTGGGATTCGCCTCCTCGAAGGCAGAGGCGAAAGATCCATCCCCACTTACACCTGCAGCTTTATGTTCTTCACAAGGGAATACTGATGTCCTGGAGGTTTTGCCCAGAGACGTGCAGGTGCCTGGAGCTCAAGGGACCTTGCAGAACCACCTGTGACTTGCCTGGGGATCTCGTGCCAGGCCTGGCCTGACTCACTGGGTCTGGGTGGGGCCAGAGAGTTCCTTTCTTTCGAGTGTTCAGGAGATGCCCCTGCTGGCTCCCAGGGCACACCTGACTATGGAAGCCTACAGAGCATTTCCAGACGTTGAAACCCAGGTCCAGGGATGTAAACTCAATCCCCATAGGTTCTTCCACAATGGCTCTTTCTCCAAACATTCCTTAAGAGTCAGTCCGAGAGCCAGTTACTTGTGAGATTCATTCCACACGATCCAGAAACCGGCATTATAGACCCTGGCATCCTGCCGCACAAGCTAGGGCTGCCGCGGTGTCTCCTCCTTAGCCTGACTTCAGGGAAAAGGAACCACAGGTTGTGGCCACAAATGGCCTTACTCTTCATGTAATAAAATGCTCTGAGCCAGTTGAAAATGCTGTTGCAGAGATAACCTGGATTGGAAAGGGCTTATGACATGCTGTGACCTAGAAGCCAGCCATGCAACAGTGTGGTGGCCACTCACTTTTTAGAACACGAAGGCCTGGCATTCTGTATCACATGTTCTTCACAGTGATTTTCTCCTGGGTGAGATAGTGGACATAAAAATGCATTTTTCTGCTTTGTCTATTTTTTTTAAAACGAAGATAGTTTTGCTCCGGAAAGTTTTATTATGAAACATTTCACACATGCAGACGACTGGAAAGTGTAGCCCACAGCTCCCTCCCCGTTCTGTGGAGACAGCAGTTACTGTTGTCATGTGGTATCTTTTTCTGAGCCCTTTACCCGCAACTACCCTGGAAAACCAGAGTCACTGTCACCCCCATGAAGGTGACCATAATTCCTGAATATCGTCTAATTCTCTGTTGCTTCTAGAGAATGAAAAAGATGAAAAAGCTATAAGTTTTAATAAAAGGAAATAGCTCGGATGACACTTTGGCATTGTCTGTTTCAAAGAGAAGGATGGAGGGTTGTCTCCTGGGCACCTCAACACCAGGGCCTCCTGCCGTTCACAAGTCTGCGGAAAGAAGGGTTGCTCTTCCTTGGATCTGATTTGCCAGCCAGCCTGGGAACGGAGAAGGGAAAGGAGGACTTGAGAAGAAGCTGGGAGCTGCTGGCCACGTGGCACAGGATGGAGCTGGCAGGGCTCTGAGTTGGGGTGAGTCTGGGGGTGTGGGGGGAGAGTGAAGGGGCCCATGCATTCGGTGGAAAAGCAGCTGGAGGTGGTGGGGCTTCAGCGGTTTCTTGCAGGGGTGATAGCGAAAGCGCCTCACTCTTCCTCCACGTGCTGATGCCCCCAGAATGAACGTGTTCTGCAGCCCTGGTCTCATTGATGACGAGGGGAGAAATTGTCTTTTTTTTTGAAATGCTGAATTTTGGCCAGGCACCATGGCTTATACCTGTAATCCCAGCAGTTTGGGAGGCTGAGGCATGTGGATCTCTTGAGGTCAAGAGTTCCAGACCAGGCTGGCCAACATGGTGAAACCTCCCCTCTACTAAAATTACAAAAATTAGCCAGGTATGGTGGTCCACACCTATAATCCCAGCTACTTGGGAGGCTGAGGCAGGAGAATTGCTCGAACCAGGGAGGCAGAGGTTGCAGTGAGCTGAGATTGCGCCATTGAACTCCAACCTGGGTGACATGAGCAAAACTCCAACTCAGAAACAAAAAACAGAAAAAGAAATGTTGAATTTTGATTTCTTTTGTATTCAAAAACCTGCATAATTGATGAAGATGTTTAAAGGGATTATTTTAAGCAAGTTGTTGCTACAGAAATATATAGAAGTGGATGAATAAATGTTTTTTTTTTTTTTAACTCTATGGTTCCAAAAACTGTAACTAAAAAGTCAGTTTTTAAAAAAATTTTGAAGTTTAATCCCCAACTTTCACATTCCTCTTAAAGTGAAATTCAACTGAACTGTTAATACAACATACTTCAGTGTATACTCTTTAGCACAACATGAATACATGGGCAATATCTTGGTATCGATTTAATGTAGTGAAGAGTTATTATAAAGGGTATAAATTGAATATTGCTGGGGAGATATAATGAATGTCAAAGAGTGTAGCTAATGACATGTCTGCTAATGGCAGGAGAATTTTGCTGTTCAGTGAATGAGAATGATTTTATCTGATGCCTATAATGTAAATAGCTTCCTATAATTGCAAAGAAGTTGAAGTGAAAATTCAATTTATTCTCTTCCAGTATACGTCTCTAATTTTGAAATAGTTTAGACACTTTCAAGAGCTGCATTAAGGACTAATTCTCATCAGAATGCAAATTCACAAAGAACCTGCTAGAACCTGTGCTTTTGATGTACATAGAAATTTGATTAACATACTTGGCTCTTTTATTTTTTCTAGAATTCCAATTCTGTCTAAATTTGCTATGAAGTAACATAATGTACAGTTTTCTGGTGCTCTAATATTTGGAGTTTTATAAAATTTGCAAAGTATATGAAATGATCATTTGAGTACCTGTAACCTCTCTGATCCCCTGAGATTCCCTTGTGACTAATTTTGTAGTGGGGTCTGCCAAAGCTACGCCTCCCAGAAATCTCCTTTCAAGATCTCAGCCTCAGTATCTTCATGTTTTTGAGCACACGTTTCTTTTTGTGTTTTTAATGGCTTTGTCACAGTTGTGCATATTCTTGGGGGCACATGTGCTATTTGGACACATGTCTACAATGCGCTATGATCAAATCAGGGTGACTGGGACATGCATCACCTCAAACATTGATCTTTGTGTGTTGGAAACATTACAGTTCTTCTAGCTATTTTGAAATATGCAATACACTATTCACTTTTTTCTTATGGTACTATTGTATACTGTGACTTCTTTCTTCCATATAACCACATTTTTCATTTTTGTTCCCACTAATATTAATCAACTTCTCTTTCTCCTCTCTCTTGTTCCCTTCCTAGCCTCTGATAACCACCAATCTATTCTCCACTTCCATGAACTCTGCCTTTTTTTCTTCTTTTTGGAGATGGTGCCCAGGCTGGGGTATCGTGGCCTGATCTTGACTCACTGCAATCTCTGCGTCCCAGGTTCAAGTGATTCTCCTGCCTCAGCCCCCTGAGTAG